AATTACCCGCCTGGCGCTTAGTGAAGAGGTTTTATTCCCTCCCTAACTTCAGGGGAAAATCCCTACCTGGGGAAACAACCTTTCTCGGAGAGGTGACCTTGGTTAAAACACATAGTGCCAAGAAGGTGAGCAAACATATTAAGAACAGTATGCCATATATGCCAGGTCCCTTGAAACAGCAAGGATGGACCAGCTCCCGGCACAGTATGGAACATTTGAGGTCATCTATTAATTCTACAGAATTTGCTATGTAAACTTTGTGATGTCTACTTATTTTAAATACAATTTTTTGTTAAATGGAAAAAAATTACAGAATGGTAAGTATGGGGTAATCTCATTTGGATTAAAAAATAATATATATGTATAACATACATACGATATACACACAATTATATATTTCAATTATTTGTACACCCAACAGTGATTACAGGTGGGGAATGGGATTGGTTGAAAGGGTGGACAGAAGAAAGAACTTTCACTTTTTTCGTTTTACACTTCTGCATTATTTGAATGTTTGACACACTAATTAATTATGTAATGACAATTCTTAATAAGCAGTTTCTTTAAAAATAAGTTGACCAATCAAATTTTAAAAAATATTTTTACTGGAATCAATATCTCTCCTCCTGACAGACAGTGAGGTAGGGACACACACTGACACACACGCAGTGCCTCCCATATCCCACAGGTTCAATCAAGAACATTTCTACCCCACGCTGCCTAGACTTGTTCACAAATAACCATCGCTCCTGACATTTCTACTCTGTGTTAGTTCGCCAAGCATCCTGTGGACATTTAGAAGATGAGCTCTTCATCGGAGACAGACTTGATGGGTATGGACACCCGACATTCGTAACAAAATGCTGTAGCATTTTGGGGGTGTAGTTTATAAGTATCCATAGCTTCCACTCAATTCTCAAAGGGGTCAGTGGCCCAAATAAGATGACAAAAGCACTTCGTTACATATCTATGTTCTTTTTTTGCAAGGAATATTTCTAACAGAAACACAGGACACTGACAACCATGCCCACCTCTTAGAAGGGAAGATTCTGTAAATTCAGGGTAAGAGACCTACCTTTCATTGTACACTCTTGTACTATCTGAATTTTTTCTTTTTACTGTGGTCATATATTTCTTCTTCCATTGAAATAGCTCAAAGAACTGGTTGGAGAGAAGAGGGGGGCCTAGCAACCATCTAGAAACTCAGCTGAATTCCTCTGTATCTGAAGAATCCACTTGGTATAAGTCCTACCTACTTTCTCCAATCACAGAAGCATGTTTCCAGGAGAAGCTCAATTGCTAAAAGATTTTCCATTGCAACATCGCTTTATGAGCCAGGGTGGGGGTGGGGGACTTGAGTGTTACACGGGTCTGAAGGCTGCAGCTGCCGCAGCTGCTCCTTCCCAAGTCCAAATGGAGCCATCTGGCACGAGTCTCCAGCTCTTAAATCAGTCGAGTCCACAGTCACCCTTGGTTGCTTAAGGTGTGCAGAGAGACGGCTGGGAAAGGAAGGCGGGTGGACCCCACCAGAGGGAAGCATGCAAAACAGAAACACATGGGCGGCTCACCCGGTTTCCCCCTGTCGGCTTGGCTGTGGGAATGATTTACAAGAGGCCAAGCCAACTTCCCACCGCTCCAGACCAAGGGGACAGAGGAAGAGGCGGAGAGATGCAAGTCACACCTGCATGCTCCCTTTCCTGCTTCTTGGGAAAAACGGTTGTTTACTTGGGGACTGCAGGTGGCCTTGGCTGGGCCTGTAAACACCACCGGGAGGCCGGTTGGCTCAACCAAGACACTTGAGTAGGGGGACTGGAGGCCACTGTTATGGCCCAGCCAAAGCTTGTTTCCTGCCTAATTCCCTCTGGCTGACTCACCACGAAGCCCTACAGAGCAGACATGGTCCAATTTATAAACAAACACGTGGGATCTGTAGCCTTGCATTTGCAAGTGGGCCTAGGTAAATCTGAGCAGTTTCACTGTCATAAAACGGTGTAAGACGACAATAATTGCGTATGCCTGTACAGTTAACATACCACATCTCATTCTCTACCGTGCCAGTCATTGATGCCCATTTTACAGAAGAGAAAACTGAGAAAAGTACTTTTCAATGCCTGTCTTTCCATCTGTGTAGGGCATGGGCAGAGAGCAAGCACTCACTGTTAATATGCTGAATAAAAGAAACAATTATTGAATGAATCAGTTGACAGAGAAGAAGGGTACACAGTGGAAAAACCTACTGGATCTTAAGAGGCAGTCATGTGCATATCTTCCCAATTCTGCCTGCAGTATCGTCATGCTGTCTACTTTAAGTTGCTCATGGTGGGAATAGCTTTACCAGCATATTAGCAGATGATACACATCAGGGCTTTTTCTTTTTTTTTCCCATAGAGACGGTGTATCAACACATTAGGTATAGATATCACATTAAAACCCAGGAAATTAGCCTGACTGGTGTAGCTCAGTGGTTGTGCATTAATCTGTGAACCAGGAGATCACTGTTCGATTCCTGGTCAATCCCTAGTAAGGGGTGTACATGAGGCAGCCAATCAATGATTCTCTCTAATTACTGATATTTCTCTCTTCCCTCTCCCTTTCCCTCTGAAATCAATAAAAAAATACATACATTAAAACAAAAAAACAGGCAATTAAATTTTCAGATCATCTCTTTTCCAAAAGAAAGGGAGTGTGGGAAGAGTCTAAACAAGTGGTATTTACTACTTCAATATACATGTACAGGTCCTACTATATTCAAAGCACTCAGGTAGGCTGGAGAAACAGATATTGGAGATAGAATGTATACTGTCAAGGAGCCTACATTCTCAGGGACAAACTGTACTGGGCACACTGGGGGATCTTGGTAAAATGCAGATTATAACCCAGTAGGTTTGGGTGGAACCAGAGACACTGAATACTGAACCCGCTCCCAGGTGACACTGGCCATCTGCAAGCCATACCCAGGAAGCTAGGATCGAGGAGGTGACTGGGTGCTCCTATGTGACAGCCAGTTGTACACATTAGATATCCATTAACCCATCTAATGAGGATGACACTAGGAATATAGTCCCTTTATCCACATTTTACAAATGAGACAGGCCATCGAGACCCAAGGTCGCCCAGCAGGTAAAGGGCCACTGGCTCACACCCAGGTAGCCTGACCCAGAGAATGAGGAGTCACTCTCTCTCCCACATGCCTCCTACGTGGAACTTTTCAGCTAACTTTCTGTCTTGAACATTACCCTTGCTTCTCCTTTCTCTTCCCGTCCTTTCTTTTCACTACTGCCTATTTCATATTTTTGCCACCTATAAGTACTCTACCAGAGAAGAGCAAAGCGGAAGTGGGAATAAATGCTCCAACTCAGTTTCAAGTGTGTGGACCCCATCATTTATATTCTACATTCTGATGCTTTGACATCTGCTCCCAGGGTTAGCCAATTCTTTGAGACAGTAAACTCGCCAGTGAGCATGCATTTCAAATGTGGCTTTCTTTCATCCTCTGGGCCACTATCCCCCTGCCCTGTTCACCCCAGGCCAGGTTCCAGACAACTAGGGACAGCCCCTGAGCCCCAGATCCCATGGAAATTATTGAAACTAATCCCAAGCCTTGCCTGTTCCTTCCTGCAGAAGCCGCAATAAAGACTCTTGCCACATCTCCCTTTCTCCCGTTGCCTCCTGACTGACCCCTGTGCTTTCGGTATGCCCTCTACCCCCCGCCCCATACATGCACACACGCATGCATGCACAGCAAGGCCCTCTTGGGATCTTGAGTACAGCCAGCTGTCTCTTCAGGAGCAGTCGACCCTCTCCTGCTCCGATGCTTCATCATACCTGAGTATCACTGAAACTCAAGAGCCTCAAGTTCATTCCCAAGCTCGGCCCTTCTCACAACTGGCTTGCATGCATACCCAATGGACGGCTTCTCAAGGCCCCTGCCCAAGGCCAGCCCTGCTGTCCTGAGAATCCCACTCGTGGGAGAGAGCCAGGCGTCCCCCAGCACTGTCAGGGCCTCTTACCTCATTCCTCGGCAGGTGCTGAGCGTGACACTGGACTCCTCCGCCTTCCTCACCGTCCCGTGGTAAAAGCAGTGATCCTAGCCAGGAGAAAGGGAGGTCAGGCCCCGCAATGTTAACGTCCCGTGAAGGTCACGGAGGATCATATTTGTAGCCTGACCCGACAACCTGCGGACAGCTTTCCAAGCCTCCACTTTACTTGATCCTCATCATAGTCCTGGGAGCGGGGAGGGGGAAGATGTCATCGTCCCCAATGAACAGACGAAGAAGCTGAGGCTCAGAGGAGCACAGAGGTTTGCCGCAGGTCCCTCTGCTAGTGCGGGACCAGGATTTCAGAGCCAGTGCAGAGCTCTTTCCATGATATTGGCCTCAGGGACACGGGCTTCTGAAGAGCCTGCCTCCCCACTAGAAGCACCTGTGACCCCCTGTAGCAGGGTTGGGGAACGTCCAGCCCTCAGGCCGTATAAGGTCCGTGAAATCATTTGGTCTGGCCCTGGCAAGTCATTAGGGGTAAGTTAATGAAATGTTTGACCAAATACAGCAGGCTAATTTTTAAGTTGATAATTTTGTATGGCCCACGAATGATGTTATAAATGTCCAAGTGGCCCTTGGCAGAAAAACGGTTCCCCACCCCTGCTCTATAGGGTTGAAGAGTGTCCCCCACAAATTCATGTCTACCCAGAACCTCAGAATGTGGTCATATTTGGAAGAGGAACTTTGCAGATGTAATTAAGTTAAGGTGAAGTGATACTAGACTGGTGTGCTTTTAAGAAGAGGCAGGGATTAGAGTGATGCAGCTACAGGCCAAGGAGCACCAAGGATGGCCAGGGGCCAGCAGAAGCGAGAAAGAAGCCAGGAAGGATTCTTCGTTAGATTACAGAGGGAGCGTGGCCCAGCCGACACCTAGATTTTGGACTTCTAGCCTCCAGAACTATGAGGGAATCTATTTCTGTTTTTTTAACCTCCAAGTTCATGGTGCTTTGTTACAGCAGCCCCTGGAAATGGAGAGACCCCAGCTTTTCTGTACCTCCCTGAATCCCTGCGTGCCTGAACTTGGCACCTACATCCGTGGATGCCAGAGGCCGATGCTGCTCTCTAGTCAGTGTGTCTCAGGGCCATGTGGCCTCCCAACCCAGCTAGATTCCTCCGTGACTATAAACATCTGTGGAGCACTGCCGTGTGCCAGGCCCCGGGTGAGGCCCCAGAGACACAACAATGAACAAACAGCGCTCCAGCTTCAGTGGGACTCACGGTCTGGTGAGAGCCAATCTTCATGAAAAAGCCACACGAGATATAATTACAAACCAGGAAGAGTGGCTCGAAATAAAGGTTGGAGATGCCAGCAGAGGGGTTTATAAGTAGGGCAACCAGAGCATTTAGGAAGCAAACCAGGACACTGCTGAGAGGGCTACAGAGGGTGCAAACCGGGACTGTCCTGGGCACAGTGAGGGATGGTAACAGGGCCATCGCTACAAGCTCCTTCCCAAATGGTTGAGAGAGAGAGGCTGGTCAGAAAAGAGAGAAGGTAACCCTCAGGGCAGAGCCAGGTCCTGAACAGGTAGATGTTAGGAAGGATATAAACTATGTAGCTGCTGGAAGCTTCCTCCCCCACTCACCACAACACCCTGGGGCTGAGCAGTCCCAGCAATCCACCAGCAGGATATTCCTTGGTACCCAGCAAGGAACATGTGACTTAGGTGACAGCGACCCATTCAACCCATTCTCTATCTTCTCTGGCTCCATCTCCTGCCCAGGGCTATTTAATTAATAGCCTAATAACTAAACTTGAGCATTCAGGCCAGGTTTAAATGCAAGCTCCATACCAACCAGCTATGTGAACAATTGCACAACCTCTGTCTGACCTCAAGTGCTAACTCCAGGGGTGAATGCAAGGTTACTGGCCCGGGGCAGCCGGCAATAAACATTAGTGGCAAGGCTCACAACGGGCTGAATCTTTGGCCTGTGCTGTGCCAATCTATGCCCTGCCCAGCTGAGCCATACAGCCAGGTCCCAGGGGGCGGGCCAGGCTGGCACTCCACTCAGGGTCTATCTCAGTCCGGTGCTCTGTCACCTGCTCAGACACAATCTGCTACCCGTAGGGTGGCTCCTCCCCGATTCATGCCCAGGCAGTCAGGAGGAGGCAGTCAAGGATTTGAAACAAGTCAGATCCCGACCTTTATTGGGGCACAAAGGAAAGTCACTGTACCAGAGACATCCTGCGGCATCAGTGAAAGAGGGAAGGTGGGCACGACCCTCCTTCCAGCCAGGAGTCCATCTACTCTCAAATGCCAGTGTGCCACATGGCTTCTCCACCTATCTCCCACTACTCCACTACCCCCCCTCCACTCCCCGCCCCTGGCTCTTGTGAAACCTGGAGGCACATTGTCAGCGTTTAAGTTCTAAACCTGGTCCTTAGAACTCAGCAACAAGGCCATGGACTCCACAACCCAGGATCATTTGTGGGTAGAAGAGGGGGTTGAGCCTGTATGGAGTAAATGGGGCTCACAGATACTGGAGTGATGGAGAGTCAAGAAGTTCAGAAATATAAAGAGAACTCGGAGCCAGTGCTGGGCATGACAGTCCTGGTACCTCCTCCCATTGGACCTGCTCACTGCCTGGTGCTCTCTGAAACAGCATCCCTACTAACTTGCAGCATGCCTTACATTTCCCAAGGGCTGTCACACATGACGTCGCAGGTATATTGTAATAACGCCTGCCATTCAGCGTTAGTAACAAGGGATAACATTCATCCAGCTTTTACTACCGGTTAAACAACTTACAAAGCCTTATGGGGTAGATATACCACTCCCATTTTTTAAAAAACATATTTTTTATTGATTTTTTACAGAGAGGAAGGGAGAGAGATAGTTAGAAACATCGATCAGCTGCCTCCTGCACACTCCCCACTGGGGATGTGCCCATAACCAAGGTACATGCCCTTGACCGGAATCGAACCCAGGACCCTTCAGTCCGCAGGCCGACGCTCTATCCACTGAGCCAAACTGGTCAGGGCTCCCATTTTTTTTAAAAAGGGAAACTAAAGGTTGGGGAAGTTTTGTCATTCACAGGCCACACAGCAGAATGAAGATTAAAACCCCAGCAGGCTGACTTCAGACTCCATGCTCTGCCTCTCCCAGCAAAGTGCATACCAATTAACTTGTCAAAACTATGATCTTCTAGCACCAATGGAAACTTGAGGTCTAGTCTCTCAGCCTTGCCATTTGCTGGTTATCTGAACTGAAGCATGGTACTTTTTCTCCTCTCTCAATTTCCTCATGTGTAAAATGTGGCGTTGCAAGAGATGTTTATAAATTCCCATAAAATCAGTGCTTCATCTTACCCTTCCACAGCCCTGAGAGTTGGATCTTAGCATATCTAATTTTCAGAAGAAGAAATTCAACACTAGTGTAGTCAAAAGGGTTGTTTAAGGTCAAATAGCTAAAGCCAAAACTAAAACCCTGGCTTTAGACCCCACGCTGTAACTCTTTCTATTGGAACATATTCACAGACCCATTCCCCCAGCGATCTGACCTAGATTAGGGCTGTAGCCTACAGCCTAGAGGCCCAGCCGATGAATTTGATAAGGTTCCCAGAACTCCCGCTGCCCCAGGCCAAGTTTGGTAGTAGAGTATGGTCCTCAACTTTTGGGTCAAATGCAGCTAAATGGTTCATTCTATTCCAACTTCATTTTGAGCCTTCAGCTCCCAAATAAGAAAGCTGACTGGGAGCCCCATGGGGCAGGGTGGGGGCTTGGCTGTAGCAGGCGATGTAAGAAAACAATAACTTCTGCCATACTTGGGTCAGCAAGACCTTTAGGAAGAGGGGCATTCTGGGATTGAGGGTTGGTTCTCTGCCTAATTCTGAGAGCACAAAGAGCAAGTAAATGAACAGTCATGAAGTCATCTCATTCCTTCTCAGCTCCTCGGCCGGACAGGGCCACCCTGAGGGGCTTTCATAGCAGGAAGCATGAGGTCATGGCAAACTTGTGCACTAAGACCCATTCTTGAGCTGCTGGTATATCAATGCAGAGCCCAACTCAGAAGAGGGTGCTTTGTGAGGTTGGCATGGCTAGGGCTTTCGAGGCACGCCTGTGCCCTCCCTGCCTCCCCCAAGGCGGAGAACAGAAATCTTAAGGAAGGAAAGACTTTTAGCCAAGGGGCATTGAAGAATATGTGTGGACACACCACAGCTGGACAGCTTCCCCAAAGATATAAAGACACAGTCAACTTGCCTGCTACCTGCTACCATGCATCTAGTGTTGCTTTCATCATTCAAGGGTAATCTGATAAAGTAACCTGAGTTGGTAATGACTGGCAGTGGCCTGTGCTGCTGTCTTCACGCCACATCTCCCATCTCTACATGCTACTCAAGTCCATTATGTCCCCTGCCAGAGTCCACCTTCCCTTCTCCTCCAGCCCATCCCATCAGCCCAGCGTCTGAGAAGGGTCACTGCAATCCAGTGTTTCAACCTGGGCACTAGTGACACTCGGGGCCAGGTAATTCCCTGGGGGGAAAGGGGCGATTGTCCTGTGTTGTAGGTTAGCAGCACCCCTGGCCTCTACCGTTTAGGTGCCAATAGCAACCACCTCTGGGCCATGACAATCAAACCTGTCCCCAGACATTGCCAAGTGCCCCCTCCTTTGCTGGCTCAGAAGGTCAAACAAATAGTATATTTTATGATAATTACATTGAATTAAAATTGGTATAAATCATCATGAAGCATATTTTCTTTGCTTCGTGTTAGTTACCCGCATATCAACAAAAGTTTAAGTAAATGGATGACGGAAAACAAAATCACTCCTGATTGAGAACCTCTGCTCTGAGCCTATGACTTTGCAGTGGTTCTCAACCTTCCTAATGCCGCGACCCTTTAATACAGTTCCTCATGTTGTGACCCAACCATAAAATTATTTTCGTTGCTACTTCATAACTGTAATTTTGCTACTGTTATGAATCGTAATGTAAATATCTGATATGCTATATGTGTTTTCCAATGGTTGCGACCCACAGGTTGAGAACTGCTGTTTTAATGGGCCCCCTGGTAGTAAGAGCAAGCAAACCATGAAATGTGCATGATTCACTACCTTCAATGTTCACCAGTGGGTTGTGAAGCCAACTAAAATGTATCCATCTGAAAAACCATGTTTTAAATGACAAATCTTCGTACAAACATCTGAACCGAAAAATTACTTTGAGGGGAAAAATACCCAATATGGATATAGAAGCAAAATAAGAAAATCTTCATAACCTAAAGTCACATTAAAAAAGACTACAACCCTAACCTATTTGGCTCCATGGATAGAGCGTCGGCCTGCAGACTCAAGGGTCCCAGGTTCGATTCTGGCCAAGGGCATGTACCTTGGTTGCAGGCACATACCCAGTAGGGAGTGTGCAGGAAGCAGCTGATCAACGTTTCTCTCTCATCAATGTTTCTAACTCTCTATACTTCTCCCTTCCTCTCTGTAAAAAAAAATGAATAAAATATATTAAAAAAAAAACCTACAAAAACCTTAGGAGACTACAAAACCTTACAGATCCAAATGAAAAAGGAATAATTAGACTTCTGTTTGGGTGAGATGACAGGATTACCAGAAATCACTCCTTTTGCTTAACCTTCTGTTAATATGTGAGTAATTAATATAAAGCAAGGAAAATGTATGCTACATGGTGATTTATACCAATTTTGATCAGATGCAATTATCCTAAAATTGACCACTTTAGCCATCAAAGGAAAGGGTGCAGGTAGGAAACAACAGGTTCACACTTGGCCTCTCCTGCTGGCTCCCTTGGTCTTCAGTCAGGGGAAACAATTGCTTTGGAGGAGGGACATCTCCATCCAGTCCCACTGTTGCCTCCTCACTTCCCAGGGGTGGGACCAGGGAGGGCAGTTGTTTGGTAGCTATTTGTTGCCCGGAACTTACCTCGGATTTCAGCGTGGTGGTTCGAGGGTTGCCACTCGGAGTATAATGCGTTTCTGTGTAGGTTGGAGCGAAAAGGTATCTGTGAAGAATAAGAAAAGACATTAGTCTCCTGAGGTGATGGACTCCACCCTCCTGGGAACTATGGCTGGCCATTCTAACTGAAGCAGGCAGAACTATCCCCCACATCTCAGTGCAGGAGAAACGGGGTGGCCAAAGGGACTAAGAAACTAAAAGAAAACCAGGAGGAAGAGTTTACTATGAATTTTGTATTTGTGGGGGTCATCATTGAGTTCAGACAACCAGATGGAGTCAAGAGACTAAAGCAGTGATCTTAAACTTTTTCTGGGTCCTGGGAACACACATGCAAACACATAACTCAAAATTTACCTGGATTGATTTTTCTACCACTGCATCCAAGGAAGGATCAGCACACCAATTTTTCTTTAAGGAAATACCTCTCCCCTGTTGCATGTTTTGGTGAGACTGTCAATCCAGGTGTCCTCCCTAGCCTTGCCAAGGGTGGCCATGATCCAAGCTAAGCCAATGGAATAATGCCGCAAGAGCTGAACAGATGGGAGCAATTCATCTGTTCCTTTGTTCCTGCTGCATGGATTCCTGAGTCTGCCTTGGCCTGTCCTTTCTGAGACCTAGTGGTTCAGATTTCCTGAGACCTGGTACTCCTGTGTGTTACCCTTCTAATAAATTCTTTTCTAAAATTAGACATTGGTTTCTCTCTTACTACAGACCGCCTGAAGCTAAGGTTAAGAATATCTCATCAAAGGAAAGGCAACACCAAGCAAGGTTCCTAGAATTTCTCTAAAAGTAAAAAATAATATATATATATAATATATATATGCCCAAGTGACCGCTACAACCAAATAACTGAAATGACCAGAACGACCAGACGACCAGCCAGTAGCTATGATGCACACTGACCCAGACTTTGCTGCTGGGGCCCTGACAGCCCTGAATCTGGTTCACCCGCACCCCAGGCCCAGCCAGGAGGAATCCCACCCGTGCATGAATTTGTGCACTAGGCCTCTAGTAATAATAATAATAAAGGAGCCAAATGGATGCTCCAACTAGCTCAGCCACACTGAAAGCAGAATGTACCTATAGAAAGTCAAGGTCAGAGGGCAAAAAGGTTTCTAATGGAAGAGAAGTTGGAGTCTAACCAAAAACAAAGAATTAATTGGATCTATATGTACTAACTGGAAAAAATGTCTAAAATTGAGTCCAACAAAAAAAGTTTTAGGAAAATATGCATTTTCAAAATACCTTTAAGTGAAAAACAATAATAGTCCACCCTAATGCAGAGGTTGCCAACCTTTCGGACCTCACAGACCACCAGTGGTCCGCGGACCACCAGTTGGCAACCGCTGCCCCAGTGTATGCATTGAAAACAACTGGGGAAGCAAGTGCCTACTGCTGATGGTGGTTATCTCAGGGGACTGCAGATGTTCACAATGTCAGTTGCATATTTCTGAAAATCGGTTGATTTTTTAAAATAATGATCTTGTGTTTATTTTGAAAACTGAAAACCTAATTTGAAACTCCTTTTCAGAAGAAAATATAGGCTCAGGCCAGCATGGAAAGCCAAAGGAATCTGCAGGGACCACTCTGACTCTGGAAGAGGTGACATTTCCCAAAAAGATGGGGTCATTGAAGAGAGTCTCTAGAGTCACTTCCAACTCTAAGAGTTCTGGGACTCCTGGCGCTCAGACTCCCCTCCACCCCTAGAGTGCAGTCCGAAGGCAAATGCCACAGAGTGATCTCTTGTATCATGTCAAGCCCTTCAACATCCAGCCCTGGACAAGAAAAGAAACCCAGAGGGGAAATGTCAAAATAAAGCAAAGTCCAAAACTCAGCTTGTGTAGAGAAGCTCATTATAAGGAAGCTCTGGGTCAGTAGCTAACTTGCCAAGTTCTGCCTTCCAGTCCTTTCTCTTTCTCCTGAGCATCTAAGCAGCCACGTATCTCGGGAGGAGTCACTTATGTGTCTGAGGGAGATAAACTGTGGGCCCCATGAGGACAGAGGCCAAGCTGCTCTGCTCACCAGTATATATCCCTGTTTAACATTTACTCAATGAAAGAACAATTTAACTAATTATTGGATGAAGGAATGGATAAATGAAGGAACAAGCAAATGAATGAGTCGATCAGCATGCTAGGAGCTGAGAACATGCTCTGGTGTTGGCGAGACTAAGGTTTCAATACCAGTCTGACATTTGCTGTGTCTATGGCCATAAATGGCTTACTTTTTCCCTCTGAATATCTGTTTTCTCTTCTTCAAAAATGAAGACAATATCCTTACTTAACATGATTGCCTAAGAGTAAACCGACAAAATGCATAAAAAGGGCTTACTACCAAGTAGGTACAGAGTGGAGCTCAGTAAAGGTTAGCATTTATCACTATTGCTTTCAACAGGAAGTGCCATGGAAGGACCCAGCAAAACTGATGGAATTACCTATTTCCCTTTAAATCTCCCCAGCCAGTAACTCTCCAGTAGATCACTTGGGAGTGGCAAAAAAAGCAATTAGCTCATTCCTGCAGCCCCATTTCCTAGGTCTGGTTTCAGAGACTGCATAATGGACAGCCAGGCAGGGGTTCAGAGTTTAATGGTCTATCCAGGCGCCAGTGGGATGTAAACGTGCTCACTGAAAATGTACTCCTGATAAATACATTATCAGCCTCTTCTCAGTCTTAGGGGGAGAATTATTCATCCGGCCACATTAAGACGCTCCAAAGAAAGCCATCCAGAGTGAACCTCACAGGTGACCACATTCTTGCCAGTCCTCGGCCACTCATAAGACTCTCAGAGTCTCCACATTGAAAGGGACTTTAGGAATCAGCCAAACTCACTGGACTATGGGCTCACTAAGAGCAGGGGACATGGCTGCCTTGTTTGAGGCTTCTCCGCAGCTTCCAGCTGCTACCAGGCAGGAGGCCCATATTTATTTGGTGAATAAATGGACGAATGAATAAATGAATGAACATTCTACTTTGTACGGGAATCTGCCAGATGGCCATTCATCTCTGGACATAGCCAGCAACAGAGAGCTCCTGAGACGCATCTAGTAGTTAAGGAAAGTCCTTACACTGAACCAGAAACTACCTCTCTGTGAGCGGCGCCTACTTGGCCTTTCCTTCTGTCTTCTGAGTCTCCAAGGAACAATCGGCTTCCTCGTCTACCTAACTGCCCTCCTGGGACCAGCAGCATCAGCCCTGCTAGGAACTAGTTAAAAATGCAGCTTGTCGGGCTCCACCCCAGGTACACCGAAGCAGGCAGACCTCTGGGGTTGAGATCAAAACGAACACTCTAGACCACAAGATTTCAACATACTTTTAAGGAAGGCAATCTTCAGAAATATCAAAGAAGCTCAGGTCACCTTCCTGCCTCCGTCGCACCCTGCTTCCATCACACCCTGGATCCTTCTGAGCTTGGGAAACCCAGAAAAGTTGCCATCAGAATCGTTCACATGTATTTACGTGTTCAATTACTTCACCCTCACGACACACCTCTGAGGAAGGTACTAACCCCTTCCCCATGTTGTAACTGAGGACATTGGGAACTGGATGTGTGACTGTCCAGGCTCTCACGGTACCGTGTCAGAGCCGGGTTTCCAACCAGGTCTGCTGGTCCTGACCATACTTTTAAAGCAGTTTTCTGTTCTCTCTCTCTTAGAAGGTGGAAGCATAAAACTACAGCACTGCCAGGAACCAGCAGTCCAAAGCACAGTGTGATGGCGATGACAGTGGCCTTGAGGACACCTGTGCTGTCACACAAAGGAGACTCAGCTCTTAAGTGCGATTGGGTGCAGAGAGGAGCAATAGGCATAAAAGCAAAACATGGGGCAGGAAGAAGAGGATGGACATGTGAGACCTTCAGGGCTAGTTTTGTGTGTGTGTGTGTGTGTGTGTGTGTGTGTGTGTGTGTGTGTGTTTTGCAATAACAACCCTTTCCCCAAATGGGGTTGCAGATGTTGGCCAGGAAGGTCCTTTCTTCTTGAAGCAAAAGGAAGGGTCAGGTTTCATCACCACCATCTGTGCAATTTTACTGATAGATGAGACACTGCTTTCGAATACTTCCTGCTGCCCCGAGCTGGGCCCATCTGTGCCCATACGGTGCCCTGGCACTGCTCTCAGGACCTGCAGACACTGCTGTCCCCTCGCAGAGTGGCCACGGGGCCACTGAGCAGTCCAGCTCGGCCCACCCGCCCCCTCTCTGACCACATCTTGTTCTCATCTCCTCCCTGACAAGGAGCTGGCTCAGCAGATCGGCAGGAAGCCGTCTCTCAGCACTGGAGTGTATTAGGATTTTCAGGAAACGAGTTGTGAGTGATGTGTGTCCAGGAAGAGAGAAGGGCTATCTAAGATTTCCCACCCCGCCCCCTCCTTTTTCTGGCTTTGATGGAAAAGCAGTTTCTGTGCACCCTCCTGCCCTCTGTAAGAGCCCCCTGCGGGTCCCTCCAGGCTCACCAGCCCGCAGGCAGGTCCACATCCTGTCCAATGCTAACAGCAGCCAGCACTGGAATGTCCACCTGGCGAAACCCAGGCTGCCCCAGACCCCAAAGTCCTTGAGCAAGACCTGCAGCTTCTGAATGCCACCTGGGGAAATAAGCTCCCAAATATGAGACATAAAACATAAGGTTGTTCTCCAGGGAAGGACAAGTGAACCGCCCGTGGCAGCCTGGAACCTTTTGGTAACGTGTCATCTGATCCCAAAGGCACACTCCCCTGACCCCACCTTTCCTAAGGCTCGGGGCCTTCAAACCCAGCACCATCATCTGAAGCGTTGTTTACAGTCAGACAAACTTGAAATGCCTCTCTCAACTTCAACTCAAAGCAAAGTTGCAAAATATCTCTCAGATCAGCTCTATTTCCTGCTGCTTCAGATAAGCAAAGCGTTGAAGACGGAGTGCCAACAATTTCCAAACCACCTTGAAAGACCTAGGCAGACAAGCTCAGCGGAAGCAAACATCACTCCGCCACCCCAGGGGCTGTTTTTACTGACAGCTTCTTCCCCCAGCTTTTGGCCCCATCTTGCTTTTCCAAGAGTATCCGGGCACTTAGACACTG